AGGAAAGCGGGTACGAATATGTTGTGGAAGAGGACGCCAGGGTGGACGAAGCTTGGTTTGGTGTAGAAGGCTTACAGCCGTACATGTTTGAGCCCTTGCTTCGCAACGCTGCCAGTTCTGTTAGCTCTACGCCTGCTGAAGACACAGACGTCCATCCCCGTGAACACTGGGATGGAACTCAATTTTAAAGTAAATAATGATTTTTATTTCAGCCGTTGCGTATATTAGCTGCAACTTATGAATCAAGATGCTATGACCAAAAAAATTTGATTGACAGATGGCCGTTGATATATGATTGGCCGAATTTAGGTGTTCAAGCTGACGTATAACTAACTAGCCTGCATAAAAAACAGATTTTAAGACAGATTTTAATTTTCTAACTTTTGGGATAGTATGGTCTGATAAAGAGTACATTTATATCCATGTTTGAGCCAGAATGATTTGAAATTTAAATATGACTTCCCTACGACTACCTCTTGGACACTAGGCCTGTTTTTGAGAAATATGCTTGAAAATAACATGGCCAAAATGAATATATCTCAAGAACTACAGAGTTTATTTGAATTGTTTTGGTATCAAAATAAAGGCAAGACCCCAGAGAATATGTTACAGGTCTATAAACCATCTTGGGGCGAGTGCTGAGGACCCAAATTTGGGTGTTATGAAAAGGTTAATGTTTTGAGTTCAATCAGTTCTGATTAGGACCCAAATGAAAGATGCATGAACAGCCAAATTATTTCAGGTTCCAAACTGGTAAACCAGGTTCCTGTCAAACAATATTTTCCATCACAGTATTCCTGTAGTTGAAAGCACTATGAGAGGTTTGTCAAAACATAAGCAGCATGGAGACGGGCACTACTGCCTCCCCTAAATATCTCTGAAGACTGATGCCTGTTAAGCTCTGATAGGTTAAACTTACATTGAATTATATTTGGCTTTTTGAAAATATTGCCAGTGGCAAATATGATGGACAAATGTATGGTACGCTATAAATAGTAATCTTTTGAACAGCCAACAAGTTTTAAAAAGCATTTTTTTTTTATCTTTGAATGTTAAATCAACATAACTAATTAATGCTATACTATAATTTTTACAGTGAGAATGCTTAGATTTCTGTGGAAATTACATAAAATTGTGGCATTTTTCTCAATGTTCTAATATTTAATTTCTCTAGTGGCTTGTTGTTTTGGGGTTTTCTTTAAACCTCATTGTATCTCAATCAGCCCTGTGTAGGAATTGGCCTAGTTTGTGCTGATTGATTTGAGTTACTTATGTTCAGATGAGCTCATTGCATATTTAAAAGGACACTGGAATGCAGTTTTTAAAATGATCAAACAAATTATAGGTCAGCAGACTCCTTGACAAACTGCACACATGAACCAAAAACAAACTGCCCATCATTTTTGTTTTTGTTTTGTCAAGGCTGTAGGAGGAAATCTGAGATAACTGAGTGAACTTAAAAATATCTTCTAAAGATTAAGAACAACACAAAGTTGCACTGATCCCATTTTTTTTGGCCAACACCAATATTTTGGTTCTCTTTCTGATTTTTCAGAGTCCCACCTCTAACTCCACACTACCCTTAAAGGAACCATCACACAAAGACTTAACCAACACTGACGTTCTGGTGCAACTTTTTCAAATTTCCCATAAGATACTGATATTCCAGCCTTGAACATTGGCCAGAACAACATCAGCATGAATCATAAACAGTCTTGTCACTCGTTTTGCAGCATGTAGAATGTTAGAAAAGGAGAACATTCAACAACAGTAGAGAAAACAACTGACCCAGTTATTATGAACAATGGGTAACACGAACTTTAAACAGGAGTGTTTCAACCAGCCTGCTTATATTGGAGATTTTAGATGCAGGCTGATATTCCGTTATTCCTTTACTGGCCGATTTAAAAACTCATCATTATATTCAAAAAGAATATTCATCAGAGAATTTGTCCTCTAAGTCAGAAAAAGAACATCAAGTCAAATGATCAGTTAAAATCATTAGTTGCATGCGTTCTTTGTGTGATATTACTCTATTTCATCATCAATCAAGGCAGATTAACTAATTAATGGCTATCACATTTCTAAATCAATGTATTTCCTTGAAGATGTCTTCCATTTTTAGCAGTGATCTGTATGAAAAGCTGACCATTTTCCCTTAAAGGTAGAACAGTTTTAAAAATAGCAGCTCATTATTTTTCAATTAGCAGACTTCCTGATTAATTCCCACTCATTACAGTGGTTTCTTTTTGCAAAGAAGAGAAATGTTACCTCTTTTTGTTCATGTAAATTATTCACATTCTTTTTTTCCAATCCCAATAAAGAATGTTTCAGCATCTTTTAAAAATTATTATTCACATTGAAGCTGAGAGGAGACATTTAGCACCTAATAGTGTTTCCATTACCTGCTGCACCATATCAACAGAGGGTTATTCGTGCAAAGCTTGTCTTCCCAGTGTTTTGTCACCTTGGAAAACCTGGGTTTACATTCTGCAGATGCATCCACCTCCCCCCCCCCAGGATAATTAGTAAATTAATAATGTTGCAGAGACAAGCACCATTACTCCACCATTCCCTGCTTTTGTGCAACAGGGCCTGGAGAATCACTTTGAAATGATAGCAGGCTAATAAAGGCTGTCAGCAAAAGTCAGAAAAAGAAACAATTTCATTTGTTACCTTCATGTCTCCAATGACAGTCTGGAAGAGCCCCCCCAGCGCACTGCACTCCCTCTCCATCACCGTCTCCATCTTCAGCTATGTGAACGGAAATTGTAAACACTCTTTACATGCAGCTCCCGGAGTCCATAAATGACGCGAAACCAAACGAACAAATGACTGAAAAAGGGTGGAGGTGAAAGGAAAGGCTCAGCTCCGCGCTGCGGGGTGTCCCCGGCTGCTGATGGAGCCCTGAACGCGGACAGAAGGTGCAGCAGAGCCGGTTAGTTTCCACACGCAGCCGGTAACTCCCATGTCTGCGGCAGGAGGAGGAGGGCAGGCATGACGGAGGTGGGAAGTAAAGTGACAGCTGAGAGGAGCGCGACACCGCCGGGAGAGGAGCAACTTTCCACACACCTCAGGCACCGGGAGACGGGACGGCGCACGGGAGCGCGCTTCTCTAGTTCATGGACGCGCTGGAGCAGGACCCCGCCTTCATAGGATTATTTAATTTTTATTTTTAATAATGGAGACAGGGAGGTTTCTGTGTCACAATACTGAACTAATTACCAATAGGTGTTATCGACAAGCATCATAAATAGAAAAATAGTTAAATTAAAATATTTGTATTACCGGTAATTTTAAAACAAATCTAGATATCTTTATAAAAGTAAATAATTGCAATGGACAGGAAATATTACTATAGCATTCATGTCTTAGGCTGAGCTTTATGAATATAGTTGCATATATTCCTCATTTTCCTGCATCTACCTGTCGGAAGGGGTCTTATCTTAAAAGTTAACAGATTTTCCATGTAAATCTCCAAAACATGGGAAACCTAAATGTTCTAAATTGTAGATTTAGTTCTAACAGGCGACTCTTCATTCCCAGGGATTGTTGAGCGATTTTCAGATTGATTATCCTGTCTACAGCGCCATCTGGAGGACATTTAATGAAACTTTCCCATAAAAGAGTAAAATACAGTACATTTGAAAATAAAATCATTTCAAGCCAAGAGTGTCATAGGACAAGACCTTATTACCTTTGTAACATTCCAAAAATAGATATTTTGATGGCAAAAATTTAACAAACTGTCAATGTAACAAACGCCAACTTGCCCGAATATAAGAAAAAACTGAGAAATTCCTGAAAAAGTGCGAGTGTGTGAAAAACATTTTTGGTACAAAATCTTAGAGGCTTTAATGCTGATATGGGCATTTACATTTTGTTTATAAAGCCAAATATAATTGTTAGCTAGGCTTAACATCATTTATTTTGCTTTTTTGTCTTAATTCCACCCCCAACGTAATAGGCAATGCCAAAATAAGATGTACAGTCATGTACCAATACCTTTGCTGAATGGCTAAAGTTCTTGTGCTTTAAGACCTCACTAAGGGGTGGGGACTCCATTTGTAAAGGGTTATGCAAGTGATCAAAAAAAAAAATTAACATGCCCTATAAAAGGGTTAAGATTAGATTTTAGCCACACTTTGCCTTGTTTAAAGTACTTAAGGAGACTTTGACAGGTTTTAACCGAAGATTTGGTAGCCACACCCAGGGATTAAAGTACATTTTCAAATACACATGGCATGATTTGCATTTGTGACCAATACTTTGTAGCAGACTCAGAATCTCAAGACAACTTTAAAAATGCAAGCTGAAGAACTGAACTATTGAACGAAATATCCAAAACTGCCTTTAACTGCCAAATGGATTAGATGTTATTTCTAAGACGACAAGTTTGCAAATTGAAGGATGTTAAGCTGACCATACAGAATGCACCTAAACGGAATATACAGGTGTGCCATTACATCTGAATGTAGAAAGCTCCTCTTTACCCCCCAATTCTAGATGCAATTATGCAGATTAGAGTTTTGGCAGTCAATTTCCAGTTGATCTAAAGACAACCCATTTCGGTTCTGTACTGTACATTTCATAAGATACCATAACCCCCTTAACCTAAAGGTTCCAAACAGTTGAGAGATCAGCTGGGGAAGCTAGCATCATTAGAGTTCTTTCATTTTAACCACAGGCCTGCTGCCTAATGACTGGGAGGAAAACATGGGGCGACTGCCCAGAAAGCTGGGTTCTTAGTCATCTACCCTTGAGAGTGGAACGAACAAACTAATAACTGCTATCAGGATGACAGGGAGGGGGATAATGAGCAGCAAATTTTAGACACCAAAGCAAGACTCAATGTGCTGATCTGTCAAGTGCTTTACCATACAGAACTGATCAACCACCATCTTTCAGATTGATCCCTTCTTCAAATCGGACCTTAAAAGATTACAATAGCATGTCCAACATATTCAGCGGCTGGAGACTGCTGACACTCAGGTCTGAATCATTGAAAAAGAGCAGTTTTAAATCCAAAGTCTTGGACAGACTCAAAAATATCCAGACAAGCATTGCAGTTTCAAACAGTTTATTAAAGTTAGATGAAAGCACAAATTCCATCCAGAAGTTTTGGACCCTGAGAAGAGAAACCATTCAATACGTTAGCAATACCATTCATACATGTGCCATTGTAATAGGTTAACTACTTACAATTAGATGCCAAAGACCATTAATTTCTGTGAGAGAGTTGCTGCTGCTGACGGTCATGTCGGTAGAGTGACTCCATACCAGCGGGTCTTGAGCTTGATGGGCTGTGGCCAAATGGCAGGTTTGAGCCAACTCTCTGGAGCCCAGTGGAGGCTGGAGAGCCCAACTGGGCTGGTTGGCGGGTCAGCCACTGTGCTTGCTGCTGGCCAGATGGAAGCCTTTTAGAGAAGTATCCAGATCCTCTGTTATCTGAAACTTGCTTGCTGGACTCAGGGGAGACCACATTACTCCACATCTTCATGTTTTGTTGTACAACAGGTGCTGAAAAAACTAAGGGGTTTTTGTGTCGCTGGGCAGTGGACTGGGGATTCTGTGCGACAGAAGAATAAATTGCCCACTGGCCTGGTCTGGGTTGCTGGGGGACAGGGATTGAAGGCCGTGTGTGTCGCTCCGCAGTGGAAGATGGAGCTTTTGAACCTGGAGGGTAAATGCTGCGCCACACGGCAGCTCTGGATTGCGAAGCAGGTGCAGAAAAAGGCAGATTAGGTTTTCGAGCAGCTTGTTCTGTAGACTCTGCCCTTTGTGACTTGATAGAATCCCACATGCCCTCTTTGGTTTGTAGTACAGCAGGAACTGAGAATGCAGGGTGCTGAGGAAGCATTCCGGAACCAGATGCTGGAGGCTCTGCCTTTTGTGACTTGATAGAATCCCACATGCCCTCTTTGGTTTGCAGTACAGCAGGAACTGAGAATGCAGGGTGCTGAGGCAGTAACCCAGAATCAGATGCTAGAGACTCTGCATTAGAAGCATGGAGCTCAACTGGGTTTTCTGGAGCATGGATCATAATCGCACCACTTGAGACGATGCTTGAGCCATATCTTTTCTCCCCTTGGGATGATGAAGGTTCCTTCATTCCCGGCCTGTTCTGATAGAGACTAGCCTGCAGCTGCTGGCGTGGATCCTGAACTGAGGCAGAGCTGTAACTAGAAACACTTCCTGGTTGACTGTTACTATTTACTTGCCTGCTGTTACCACTTTGAATTTTGCTACCAAAAAGACCCATTGGTTTGTAAGCACCAGCTGGCAAACTCTGAGGGACATCGTGGATGCCAGCATAGAAAGCATAGTAGGCACGCGGCAGAGCTTCAGCTGAATGAGGTTCAACATTTTTACCTCCATGTCTGAAGACATTTCCTACAAAAAAAAAAATAATAATAATATATATATTCATTCAAAGGTTGTAATGATCAAGCAAAAATTTGTGCATTTCATAATTTCATACCTGATGCAAAAGGCCCAGAGGTCAGAGAGAGCATTAGCATGCTGGCAAAGATAAGAATGAAACCATGAGACTTTGACTCAAAAAAAAAAAAGAAAAAAGATCACATTTAGCAGAATGTTGTAAGGGTAGCCATACCTCATAAAGAATCCAGAAGCCATTTCTTTGTGAAAACTGAAACCAAAACACCTGTAAAATGTTTGTTACTCACAAACTGGAACCAAAAGAAAAGGAAATCCAGGTCTCAGCTTCATACATGCTGCAGTCTTAATGGTCCTTATAAAGTGCTTTGCATCACAGCTAACCAGTCACATGCTTCACAGATTAATCATTGGAAGCAGCTTGGTATCTTTTTAGGTAACTGACAGACTTCATTCCTCACAGCTGTGAGCCACTCAGTTGGCTGCTGCAGTCTTTCTTAAAGGGCAAATTTCTTGAATTGGACTTAAATTTCTTCCTTTTTGAAAATGTTCATATTACTCAACAGTGAAAATAATTTTTTTCATTAGATCCAAACGAACACATAGAAGACATTCGAAGAAAAAAACATTCTAAGTCCATCAACAAACTCATATTTTCAACTGTAGTTTGTTTAAGAGATTATTAATAAATTCTAGATTAGCTGCTGATGAAAGATGAGGATATTTAACTTATTAGAGAATCTGCACAGCCTAAAGCATTGCACAGTCTGATCCAGAGGAGGCTAAAGGGTGAATAAATAAACAACAAGATGTCCTTACCAAGTTACATTACAGGATGAACTGCACTCTTATATTGTGATAGAATTATTGTTTAATTGGAGTGTATGTCATCTCAGCTTGTTTATAGAAATGGATTTAATTAGAATTTATGGTTTACTCTTAATTCAGACCAGGTTAAAAGATAAAAGTTATTTACTTTGTGATGATTTTTCTCATTTCCGCTTAATGAACTGAAATTGTGTTTTTATTATATTGGCAAACAAGTGTAGTTTATTACATAAAGACAGCTCTACTTAAATCAGTTGATGTAAAATATTTTACATATATAGTCTGAAAATTCAAATGAGGAACAGAGTGCAGAAGTTGGTCAGTGCTGTTTCTGCATTTCATCCTCTATAATAAAGTCATTTCTTTCTTTTCCATTGAATACATCTTTCTAAAATGCTTTTTTTGAACAAAAAAGTTCTCTTATTTGTACAACTTAGTTACAATAAGCTCCAAATAGTTCATAATCTTGGTCATTTTGGATGTAAAGGTTTTATTTCAATCAGAAGGCCTGTGAAGTGGGACATGTAACTCCTAAAAGAATAAGAATCAAAACAAAAGAAGGATTTTGAGTTTTAAAGATGTCTTTATTTCAAACATTAAAAGGAGCTTTTTAAATACCTATTTCAATTATTTAAAAAAATATTTTGGCGTTACAGAAACCCAACCCTTCTTACCATTGCAGAGCAGCTTTTCTATGTATCCAATATTATTTTGATGATTTATCTTTATTGATGAGCTCCAAGTCATCAGACTGGAAACACCCTTTATCATTACTGTAATATTAGGATCAAATAGGGTCTCTATCTATATCACCAAAAAATATTATATTACTATTCAGTTTGAAGAAACATGTAACTTTAAAAGTGTAAATTTAAAAGATAACATTAAACCAAAATCTACCAAGGGTATAAATACTTTTAAACTTAACTGTAAGTGGTGTAGTATCAATTTATTTATTGATTGTATTATTCTAACAAACTGTTGCTCTGCAGGTCCTGGTGTTCGAATAATAATGATAAAAAAAAAAAAAAAAGCTGTTACTGTTGTCAGCTGTAAAGTTTATTCTTGGAGGAAATCTTAGTCAGAAAATAATGCATGGATGACAAAGTTTTATTTACAGTTATCATACATCACTGTTTTAACTGATTTAACAATTTTATCATGAACACAGCAGTTCACAGTGTACATTAACACAGCGCAAAGAAGGAGCCATACAAGTATCACATGAGTCAAAGAGATTGCGGTGTGGCTAAGGTTCAGTTTTTGTTTTACACAGAAATTAGATGTTATTATACAATCACAATGAAAATGTTTAAAAAGGTCAGATGAATAAACGGAAAGTAATGGGAAACCTGAAGGTGAATAGAAATATAGCGCAGAGGCATTAATGATAAAAAAAAGACTTTTTTTGCCAGAGAAGGTTAACTGAGTTTAAGGCCGAGGCAGAGAGCAAGTTCATTCTTCTGGATTTTTCCGTCTCTGTTGATGTCGCAGTGACCCATCAGAGCTTTCCTGAACTTGTCCAGTTCCATCCCGCTGATGCTGGGCTGCAGAAACCACGGACAGAGCTGGTGTTAGAATGAAGGTCAGAGGTCACAGTCCATCCATCCATCCATCCATCCATCCATCCATCCATCCATCCATCCATCCATCCATCCATCCATCCATCCATCCATCCATCCATCCATC